ACCAAGGGACCCTAGCCGTTCAGGGATTCCATGCATCAGGCCTCTAGTTTAAAAATAAACAGCACCACAGATCCAACACTGACAAACCAACACCTGGCTTCCCCCAAGTGGGACACAGGCCCCACCACCACCCCAGAGCAACACCCCACCAAATCACAGCTACGCTGCTAAGACCCCCATAGAGGAAAATGCAGCCCATAGCCCAGCCCAGCCAGGAAACAGTCATTGTGGGCACTGGGTAATAATGTCACATAGCAATGCCTGGCTTCCTCTCCCTAGCCACTAGCATCTTTGGAGTTTCTTCAGCCCAGAACCCAACTTGCTTTATAGCCAGGTGCAAACATTTTACAGTTCAACCAAATGCCTGTGAAGCAATGTCCCATGATTCATCTCATCTGATCTTCACAGAAGTCCTGGAGTAGGTAGATAGGAAACTTAGTAGAATCCTTTTTTTTTTTTTTTTTTTTTTTTTTCATTATCTGGTAAACGAAGATTTAGAATGTTTAGAAACTTGACCTGACTGAAAAGAAGTAAGAAATGGTGGAACTTGAAAATGACTTCAGGTTTTCTTGCTGCACAGAATATAGTCAAACACACTGCAGTTAAATATTTTACCCTTTGTTCTCCCTGCATGATCTACAATAATAATCTGCTTCGTGTTGATATTTACTGCTGTGTTCCTCATAATTACCTGAAAGAGAAATTGGGGTGTTTCATTGGGATGTAAAAAGTAATAGCTAAGTTAGAAAGCAGGTCTAATTAAGCAAGTTTATACTAAAGGCCTTTGCAGCCCCTGCTTCATCTGGAAGGTCATTCGGCTGTCCGGTATAATTACGCTTTTATTATTATAGATATACTAGAGACTGGTGCACAAAATTCATGCACAGGTACAGTTCCTAGGCCCAGCCTGCAATTGGGGCCATCTTCTCCAGCTGCCTGCAGCTGCCCCACCACCATCCCCTACCCCCAATTCCCTGTTTGCCATCAGTGATCAGTGCTTAAAAGTCAGGAAAGGACTGAGAGATCAGCTGTTCTCGCCATTGCCGGCTCCACCCCCATAGCAGGTGGCCATCAGGCAATCAGAGCCTGCCGGCCAGGGAAAAGAACCAAGAATGGTCAGTGCGCCTCATAGTGACTGGTCCAACGGTCATTCATTCTGGTCATTCTGCCATTAGGGTCAATTTGCATATTACCCTATTATTGTATAGGATAGAAGCCTGGTGAACTGAAGGAGGTCCCAGATCAGGGTGGGGGATCCTGGTTGGAGGGGCCACCAGGTCCGGGGCTATAAGGTATGAAGGCCTGCCCCACCCCCAATCAGGGTCAGGGTCCCTTCTGGGATGGGGCCAGCCTGGGCAAGGGACCTGGGTGATTTATAGGCTAGCCACACCCCCAATCGAGGTGGGAGGTCCGTGCTGAGGGGTGTGGCTGGCCTGGGTTTTGGGCCTAAACCAGCAGTTAGACATCCCTCTCGCAATCCAGGACCACTGGCTCCTAACTGCTTACCTGCCTACTTGCCTGATTCCCCCCAACAACTCTTTCTGCCAGGCTTCTCATCCCCAACTGCCCCCCTCAGCCTGATCACCGCTAACTGCCCCCCACTGCAGGCCTGTTTGTCCCCAACTGCTCCCCCACAGCCTGATCACCCAAAGCTGCCCTCTCTTCCTGGCCTGATTGCCCCTAACTGCCTCTGCCTCTGCCTCAGCCCCACCACCATGGCTTTGTCCTGAAGGATATCCAGAGGGTCTCCCAGAAGGTCTCCTGGTCTAATTAGCACATTACCCGTTTATCACTATGGATAGAGGGCTGGTGCCTGGGGGCTGGCTGGTCTGCCCTGCAGGGTGTCCCAGATCAGGGTGCGGGTCCCCGCTTGGCGGTGTGGCCAGTCTGGGTGAGGGGCTGAGGGCCGTTTTCAGGCTGGCCACATACCCTTTGGGGTGTGGATCCTTGCTAGGAGGCATGGCCGGCCTGGGTGAGGGACTGAGGGCCATTTGCAGGCTGGCCACACCCCCATTGAGGTGAGGTCCCGGCTGGGGGTGTGTTTGGCCTGGGCAAGGGGCTGAGGGCCATTCGGGGTGGTCTGCAGGCTGGCCAAGCCCCCGGCTTTGTGCAGAAGGACGTCCAGAAGGTCTCTGGAAGGTCTTCCAGTCTAGCCAGCATATTACTCTTTTATTAGTATAGTTCAGTGGTGGGCAAACTGCGGCTCACGAGCCACATGCAGCTCTTTGGCCCCTTGAGTGTGGCTCTTCCACAAAATACTCTGGCCTGGGCGAGTCTATTTTGAAGAAGTGTCATTAAAAAAAGTTAAGTTTTAAAAAATTGGCTCTCAAAAGAAATTTCAATCATTGTACTATTGATATTTGGTTCTGTTGACTAATGAGTTTGCCGACCACTGGTATAGATAAAAGGCTAAGTTGACTTACGCATGCATGATACATATAAAGCTCTGGCTGGTGCCAATCGCATGTGTATATTTCAATCTGTCATTGTCGATCATGAATTTGGTTGACACTTCTATTATAGAGAAAGAGCAAATAGCTACATTAAAATATTTCTTCTAATTAATTTCTTTTCAGTGTGCAAAAATCAGTGCACCAGGCCACTAGTTATAATATAATGTCCTTTACTGAGGAGCTTGGAATATTCATTTTACAGTTAGCGGGAGTTTTGTTCATTAATTATTCAGTCTAAAACACACATTGCCAAACTCACTGTGGGTACCAATTAATTCTGGGAGTTTTCAAACATTTCATTACAGGTTTTACATCATGCACAGCATGCCACTTTCTTTTTTTCCTTTCTTTTGAATCTTTATTGAAAGTATTGTGTAAGTCCTCTTCCCCTCCCCACCCCCCATTAACCTCTTCTAGCTGCTCCCAACACGCCCTCACCCAGGTCCTCATCACCACATCGTCTGTGTCCATGGGTTATGCATAGATACATACAAGGTCTTTGGTTGATCTCTTCCCACCCACCCTCCCTTGCCTTTCCTCTGAGGTTCCAGTCTGTTCATGCTCCTATGACTCTGGATCTATTTTTGATCATCAGCTTATTTGGTTATTAGATCCCATATATTGAGTGAGATCACGTGACACTTGTCTTTCTCTGACTGGCTTATTTTGCTCTCCAGGTCCATCCAGCATGCCACTTTTACATGTGAAGGTGAGAGTAGGAATTAGAAGTTGGAATACAAACCACTAGAAAAACAAATATACATATACTCTATTAAACCATTTTTTAAAAGCAACCATTGGGTCACTAATTGGTTAATTAAATCATTATTGCTCTTTTGTACATGTTTTTGTAATAAAGTGTCATAAAAAATAAAAAAAAACTTGTCACCAGGTGAGCTTTTGTGATTTAGCAAGAAAACCCAGGGAACCAGAGTCTTGGGCCGAATGCCACTGAGTCCTGTCTTGGGGAGATGGGCATTCATCTCCCTGACACCGAACCTGCAACTCTTGACCCCAAGTCCATCTACACCAATAAAAGAAAGATATGCAAATTGATTATACCTCTGTGATGACAACAGCCAATCAGGAGTAAGTATGCAAATTAACCCAACAAAGATGGTGGATTAACTTGCAGATGCAGGTGGGGGCAGGGAGGCAGGGGGCAGGGAGGCCGATTGCGCACGGGCTGGTGCCAAGCAGCCTGCGTCCCAGGGACAGGCATCCTCGGGACCCAGGCTGCTCGGAGCCTGTAGGCCTGCGTGTAGGCCCGGAGCAGCCGGGGTCCCAGAATGACCCCTGGCCACACACAGGTGTGAAGCAGCCAGGGGCGGGCGGGAACATCCACTGCATCGCCATGGAAACACTGCAGATGTTCCCACCCTGTGGCCAGCATCCTAAGGGACAGGTGTCCTTGGGAGCCAGGCCACTCTGAGACTGTAGGCGTGCACATCAGCGTCCTGGAACAGCTGGGGTCCGGAACAACCCCCCCAGCCACTCCAGGCCTACATGTGCAGGCGCGGAGCAGCCGGGGGTGGGACAGGAACATCCCCAGGACGCAGGCGCTCCGAGCCAGCCCATGTGTAAGAGGGCAGGGCAGGAACGTCCTCCTCAACATGCTTGCCCCTGGCCATGGCAGCAAGGGGCAAGCAGTCCCCCTCAGGGCCCCCACAGAGAACAGTTACCAGGGCCCTGCTTGCTCCTGGGCCTGGTGGCTAAGGACAAGCAGGCCCCACAGAGAGAAGATAGCAGGCCCTGCAGTGGCATCAAGCAGGCAGGTCTGCAGTGAGCAGAGAACCATGAGAACAGGCCTAAGCTGTCAGTAGGACATCCCCTGAGGGCTCTCAGATTAGAAGGTGTACAGGTTGGGCTGAGAGACACCCCCCATGCACAAATTTTGTGCACCAGGCTCCTAGTCTTAGAATAAGTGCCCAGGACTAGAGACCTTCTTTAGGTCTCTTTCATGAAGATCAGAAGGAAAGATTTTATTTATTTTAAATATGTTTATTGATTTCTGAGAGGAATAGGAGAGAGAGAAAAAGAGAGAGAAAGAGAGAAACATCAATGATGAGAGAATCATGGATCAGCTGCCTCCTGCACACCCACACTGGGGATTGAGCCTGCAACATAGGCATGTGCCCTGACTGGGAATCAAACCATGACCTCCTGGTTCACAGGTTGATACTCAACCACTAAGTTACACAGGCCGGGCCAAAAAGAAAGATTTAACGTTTTTTAAGTAGTTTCACTAGTTCCATCTAAAATCTGTTCCCATCACAACTGGTGGGTTCCACTGACCAGTCCAAGGCTCAGTAGCATCTTCCTGCTTTGGAGTAGGGTCAGGCATCTTAGGTTGCAAAGCCTCAGGTCCATGTTCAGTCCTGTCTGCTGCTCTGAGTCAGGCTGATTCCCGAGAAAGATGCCGTCCTGCATGGCACTCGGCTCAGGTTCCTCCTGCCACCGGCTGGGCCCCTCCTGCCTGCCCAGCACGGGCTGTGCCTCGCCAGGAGCCACACTCCCCGCCACGGGCCGTGCTCTCCACCGCGGGCACTACACGATGCTCTCCGGCACACGCGTGTGCCCTCTCATTAACGTCTGCTGCGTGTGCTCCTTTCGTTTTGCTTTTGCCTCGGAGCACAGCTGTGTGATGTAGTCCACGCACCTCTTAGGACGGGAAGCTGGGAGAGAACATGCGGAGGTGAGCATTTATCTTGAACAGCATTGCGCTCTGTATTTGAAACATCGCACGTGGATTTTAGATCCAAATGTTAGTGTCTTAAAAACTAAACCTGAAATGCACAAATGCATATAAATGATCTGAATATATTGTTATTGTCTAACTTTTAACAGGATTACTTGAAATAAAATATATGGACGTTTCTGTTACAAAATAACGTAGTGCTGGGGAAAATGCACTGTCTTCAGCAGAATTTCCTATTCTAAGTGCCAGGGCTTCTGGGAAAAGGAGTATCCGGGGTTGTGCCACTCTGCTCAGAGGCCGCAGCCAAAAGAGCATCTCCGAGCTGTGACAGTGTGCCTCCACTGGCCAGCAGCCCTGGGGGGGATCCAGGCAGTGAGCCTGAGCACAGGTCTCCCACCAACTTCCCTTAAGGCTGAACTGGAAGCTGCGGCAGGGTCAGCCGCGGAGTCAAGACGTGTCTTTCCTGCTCAAAGCTGCAGCTCCACTGTGTGGTTTGCCTGCTTAGGAAACCGGCAGAGTAAGCCACACAACTCACATGGGATACTGATATCATTGAGGAACTCCATGTTGTGGAAACATGGGGTGCAAAATAACGAACTGCCTTTAGCTCACACACATTTCTCCTCCCACCCCCAGCTCCCACACAGCCCACTCCGGCTAGGATAGCTACTTCTCGCCATTTCACACCCGACTCAGGCATCAGGAAAGAAGGGCAGCACTGCCATAAAGACACGCTTCCTACAAAACCCTCCAGACAAGGAACAGAACCAGCTGCAAAGCTCTCTGCATTTCTTGTGACTCTTGGCTGGTAGAATACGTTCATTTGCATGAAGAAGCAAAAGGTTGGAAGGTATAAGATTCTCGCTTTACATTTACTTCTCTCTACTGGATCTTTGTCAAGACTTCTCTCTCTCTTTGTCTCTCTCTTCTTGTCTTTTAGACTCCGTTTCAAATTTTTCTTTACATATATTGTTTGAGGAATTGCGATGAAGTCATCCAAAAAATTAAACACATTTCTGTGTGAGTTTGTTAGGCCTTGTATCCATTGATTCAACACAAATCCAACACTCCATTGTGCCAAGTCCTGTGCTAGGACCCAGGATACACAGAGAAAATTCAGTTGCTCAGGAGGACGGCCTCAGCTAAATCAACTCCCCACGATGACAAGGTGACATAAAGGCATCCTTGGTGAGGGTGTCCACATGGTGCTCGGACGCAGATGGACATGCAGCCAGAGCTGGGCATGCATGTCAGTGAGGATGCGGCGACGGTGGCTGGAGTCACCAGCTACATGAACTTAACTGCAACTTTTTTTTTAAACTACTTTTTATGATTTCAGAAGTCGACTTTCTAGTCCTAAAAATGAAATTTTATTTTTTGCTCCCCATTAAAGACAACAAATCAATGTGCTTCCTTTTTCAAACTTCAGGTCACTAGGTTAACTTACTTTGACCACACTTCTCCTGGGATGATGTTTCTTCATTATTTGACCTCGATTTGTAACTTTCTAGAGTGTATTCTGAAATTTCATTTTCTGCAAGAAAAGAAAGCCAAATTATTAATTTCAGGTGCCACAGGCATCGCCTATATGAGAAATGTACGTGTGAGTAACACGATGCCTCTGTCTCTGCAGCAGTGGAGTCAGCGTTCCTCAGGTCCTCGGTCATTCAGCCAGTCATTCTTACTGTTTGCGCTGAGTCCCACAGGCATGTGCCAGGCGGTACAAGAATTACAGAAGTTGCATGACAGCAGCTGGGACTCAAATGTTACCCTTTGGGAAAGAACAATCAATAGCCCTTAAACACCGGGACTGAAGTGTCAGTGGCAGCTTCTGAAACAATACTATGGCACTTCCTGTTGTATAGGTACAGAGCAGCCAGCTCCTGCTTCTAAGTCTACTCGCAGGGTTTTGCTGAAGACACAATGAGTCCTCTGTCACATATGTGGCTCAGTCAGCATTGTCCAATAGCAGTATAGCCCAGTCTCACATGTCATTTTAAGCTTTCCAGTAGCCATGCTCAAAGACTAAAATGAAGCAGGGGAAATTGAGTTAGTAATATATTTCATTTAACCAGTAGACCCAATATATTATTATTATTAGATATGTTGTATTCTTGTGTGCATGCGTGAAGTGCGTTTGTGTGCATGCATGTATGTGCGTGTGCTGAGCCTTCAGAATGAGGTGTGTGTTATCCTTACAGCATATCTCAGGAGGGACTAGTCACAGATCAGGCACTCAATAGCCCTGTTGTGGCTACTGTGCTGGATGGCACAAGGCTAAATAACTGCTCAGAATTAAAAGAGGGAATTTATTCCAGACCATATTTATAGAATGAAATGAATAGATGGGTTATTCTGGATAATTTCTAAAGTCCCTTCTTGCTCTGATATATGTTGAGTCTATGTATTTTAATAGGTATCTTTCTATGCTAGTTATCTACATATATTAAAGTTTAATATGCTAAGTGTCCATCCAAACAGTAGTTATGATGCACACTGACCACCAGGAGGCAATTGCTCAATGCAGGAGCTACCGAGCAGCAGTGACTTGGCAGCGCTAGTTCTCGTTCTCAAGTGACACACCCTGAAACCAGAGAGGAGGGAGCCTCAATTCCTGGCGGGGCCGTGTGTGATTCCTCCTTCGGTTATGTTGTTGCTGCGGCATGTCGGCCCGAATCAGGTTTACTGCTCATTTGCATTTGCGTTCCACACCCTGTACCACAGCAACTTTGCCAAGTGCCTTCTCGCACTCCGAGACCCCTAAGGGATGTCAGAGAGCCAGTTTCAGCCTGATCTCCACAGGCCAGGCTGAGGGACCCCACCTGCTGGAGGGACTTGCTCACTCTGCAAATGCCCTTTGAGACACAGCACCACCCCAGAGGCAGCCAGTTGGAAAGGCACCACAGGAGGTTGATGCCAGGGCATGTCCTGCCCATCTTGCCCAGTCCTGGCCCACCAGCTATTATACCTTTTAATTAATTTCCTTTCAATGTGCACAAATCTGTGCACCGGGTCACTAGTATAATATATTTTTTGTTTCCAATAACTTTTTAATCAGAATGCTTAGGAAAAAATTGCTAACATATGATTGAGGAAAGTTGAATGCATTCTTTCAAAATGGAACTAAAGCTTTGATTGCCCACTCCTAGGAGAAGAACTCTTTGAGAGTAGGGCCTGGTCTGTCCTGTTGACAGATGTATCTCCAGTACATGGCACACAAAAGCTGCTTAGTGAATGCTTACTGCATTCAGATGGACCAACAGATGAACGGATGGATGGATGAGCTCTCTTTTTTGTTTTTTTGTTTTGTGAATAAACACTTTTATAACATAATTCCAGTTCCTGGAGCTGCTCTAGTTTCTCTTGGTTTTGCACTTTTTCACTAGAGTTTCTAGAGTTTCAAATTCTCTGCTTACCCTAAGACAAATAGTTGCTTATTGAAGTGACAACACATCAGATAAGAGAAAAGCTCTAAATGGCAGGCTTCCCCATTGTCTCAGCACTTTGTGCTTCATCTGCTCTCAGCGCTCACCTTTCTTCCAGATCACGTGTGCTTTCCGAATCTTCATCAGGAAAAGCTGTACGATGATGAAGAGAATGAAAATGAGGAAGCACACGAGTGTGAGCAGCAGTATGCCACTTTTCTTCCTCACCAATCCGTCAAACTGAGGGTGTGCACCTATAAGGAAAATTAGCAATTTTAGATAGTTTGAGGGAGTATACACAAACCTTCCAAAAGATAGGGTAGGCTAACAGGCAGCTCAGATGAAGAGACGAAGAGCTTTACCCTGAAGGTAAAAAGATTCATACTATTTACTCTCTGAAAACAAGAATATAAACAAAGTAATGTTGTATATAATTTGGAAAAGGTTTTTAATTTATATAGATATTGAATTAGTTATTTTTCATTTCTAGGGAAAACGTGAGAATATTGACTTAAATTAGCTATAAGGAATAATTTTTTTAGTAAATGTGGTTTAGCAAGAGAGATTGTTAGCTTAAAAAATAAACTATGCAAATAAAATGAATACTTATTGACCTTGACTCGTTGCATGGGGTCTTACATGAAGGCATTTAGAAGTGAACTCGATGAGCCCATAAAGGGCTTTCCTAAACCTAAACCCTGACCCCATGGGCTCTGGCTTTGCTCAATGTCCTGGCCCCCTCCACCCAACCCACAAGCAATAGGGTGTGGGCTCCGTGCGGAATCCATGCCAAGGCTGCAGCAGGCACAGCCGTCATCCAGGGATAGTTCTCCATGTGTGTAAACAATCAGGTTAATAAAAACAAAAGGAAGGAAGCCACCTATGCCTAAGCTTAGATCTACATGTGTCACTATTATATGGTGTTTGAAGTTCAGCCAGGAGAGCTCCAGTGAAGAAATTAACATTACAAAGGGTCAGGGGAGGAGTGAAGAGGTCTTTCCTTTCATTGAGGCAAATTATGATAAGCAAGGGCAGTGTGATCTAGGCGAGATGTTTTCAGAAAGAAAAAAAAAGTATTCTTGTCAGGACTTTACAGAGGCAGAGCTGCAGAGGACGGAGGCAGAGTGTACTCTGTGGAGGGGGAGGTTTAAGGTTCACTTTCATGACACACGGAGGTTCCTGAACACAGGTGTGCAAAGTGCGCGAGGATATTCGCATGGTAAGGTGCTCACAATGGATGATAGAAGGAAAGCTGAAGTTGCAATACTGCATAAGGAGATGATGAGGGTCAGGATCAAAATGCCTGAAAGAAATGATGCCAATTCCTTTGACTCAAAAGTCCCTGATTGTAGTGAAGGAGGACACCATAGTTTGGGCCTGCGTGACACTTTAGACAATCTGGTTTTGTGGGAACAGAGGTAGTTCCGTTGTTAGCAATGTTGAATTTGAGGCGTTGGCAGAAAATTCAGGTTGAGAAATGTAGGAAATGGGATGAAACAGGGACTAATGTTCAGGCGAATGTTCTGAAAATACAAGCACGAAATCTCCTGCCTGGTGGCGACAGGAACAGTCTTGGAAATGGGTCAACTTTTTAAGTATTAAGAAAGAACCAAGGATGGGGAAGTAAAATCAGAAGCATGTCTACGTACAGGAAGTGACAGTTTATTTTAAAGGTGGTGGGACACTTACCAGAGATTAAGTCGGGGTCTTGAGTGGTTTGTTCTTCCTCTTCTTTGTCTGTCATTGATGTACTAAAATCTTCCATCGCTGCAGCTAGGTGAGAGAAGCACAAGACATATGCCTCCGACTATGTATGTAGAGTGTGTATATCAACACAAGTCATCCAAAAGCAGCAAGCAACTCTGGCGACCAAGTTTAGTGATGCTCACTGAAACCAATGAGGTCACTTCTGAATGACATGTCTTCCCAAAATTGTTGTGAATGGTCTGGCTTACTTTGCCTTATTTTTTTTTTTTAAGGTTAATGTTTACTGAACATTTACTTTGTACCAGGCCTTAGACTGAGAGAGTTACTTCTTACCACAGCTCTGGGCCAGCAGTTCTAAAAAAGTTAAATAAACTGTCTGAAGTCCTGCAGCAAAGCAGTGGCTGAGTCAATACTGAAAGTCAGAACCCAACATTAAAACCGTTATTGTATGCTTTCTTCCTGAACCAGGTCTGTTAGTGAGAAGGTCCATAGGATGCTTCCAGGTGACACCTGGACAGTGAGGAGGCATCAGAGGTCTGCGGATAGGAAACCTGCAGCCTGAATGCACAAAGCCATGACTTTATGTTAAAAGTAGGCTCAGCTGTCATTCAAACCTATGTGTGTGCCCCCTCACCCACCACCCAGCCTCGCAGAAGTGGGATGTACCAGGATGCCTTTGCTAGGGAAGACAATTTATAAAAATCTTTTCCTGATTTGGTGTTTATCCTCCTTATGTTTTTCATATGTAAAATCTGGCTCTTTAGCCCATTACACAAGGGGAATGAAACAACTTATTCTTCTACTGAAAATGGCTATTGTTAACAGTAATAAAATTGTAAAACTTGAAAACTGAAAGGAGTTTTAGAAACCATATTTTTAAACTCTTATGTTATATACTAGTGGCCCGGTGCATGAAATTCATGCATGGAGGGCAGTGTCCCTGTACCCTCTCACAATCTGGGATCACTGGCTCCTAACTGCTCACCTGGCTGCCTGCCTGATCACCCCTAACCACTCTGCCTGCTTGCCTACTCTCCCCCAAGTGCCTCCCCTTGCTGGTCTTCTCACCCCCAACTGTCCCCCCCTGCCAGCCTTATTTCCCCCAACTTCCCTCCCCACCAGCCTGATAGTCCCCAAATGCCCCCCTGCCATCCTAGATTGCTTCCAACTGCCCCCCCTGCCATCCTGCTCACCCCCGACTGCCGCCCCCACCAGCCTGATCACCCCCAACTGCCCTCCCCTCCTGGCCTGACCGCTCCTAATTGCCTCTGCCTCGGCTCCGCCACCTCTGTCTAGAATGACGTCCAGAAGGTCTCCCAATCTAATTAGCATATTACCCTTTTATTAGCATAGATGAAAAGGCAGAGCAGAAAATTGAGTTGTTTAGTAGTGGTGTCAGCTAGATTCTAAGACATTTGTAAAATGAAAGACAACTAGATTCTAAACATTTGTAAAAATATTGGCTTATGAAGCAAATGATGTGGCTGTTCCACTTCTTATTTTCAATTTCCACTCTCCTTCAAAAAACTATGTGGCACATAGTGCTATTTATCAGTTTAAAACCCCTAAACATTTATCTTAAAATATGATTCAAGGTAAGTGTGATCAGATACTCAGAAGTATGCATGTGATGATGCTATGAGCGCACTTATCCCACCTCATCCCTCTGTTACAGACGCCTCTAAAGACTCCCAGCCTCTCTGGGCAAGACTCACCGTGGCGCTCACAGCACCACGGCCGGCGCCTGCACCCTGCCCACAGTGGCTGCTAGGCACTTTTGAGTGCTGGCTGTCACCAGAGGCTAAGCTGAGTGAAATAAAACATAACTTAAACGTGTGATCATTGTTCAGAGCTCTCCATCGAGTAGGCTCGCTGTCTGCAAGTTATAATGTAGGCGTTATAATTTAGGCTTTCTGCATTCTTCTGCATTGATAGTTCAGTTTTGTCATTAAAACTATCTGAGTTTTTAACAGCCAAGTAAGTGACAAACTTTCAAAGGTGACTTTGTTATTTGATGATAAGAAACATCAAATCTCCAATCCTGTTTCTTTGCTCTTTGTTTTTGGTCTATTCTAGATGGGAAACAAAGAAATGGGTCTTCCCAGTGGACATGCAAATGTCACAAGTGTGTGTGTGTGTGTGTGTGTGTGTGTGTGAGAGAGAGAGAGAGAGAGAGAGAGAGAGAGAGAGAGAGAGCGAGCTCGCACTTACAAGATGTTAGCTATTCTGAACCCTCGATAGTTGACTTGGCACTTCCCCAGTCACCACAAAGCTGGAGGGAGTGCTGAATGGTCTTGTTATAAAACAAAACAAAAAAATAGGTTCTTAAAACTTATAGTTGGAAAATCGAGTTCCCAAAGAGGCAGGATTTTTTTAGGTTTGAATGATTTCCACAGTTACCAGTGCTTGCGGCCTGCAGGGCAGCTCATGAGGACAGAGCACTTTTCCCCAGAGCATCTGAGGCTGTCTCTCAATGACAAGTAACTTTAAAAAAAGGAAAAACAAAATGCTGCCACTACGGAGGCCGATCCTGCCCACAGTGTGCTCAGCTGAGCAGGGTGGAGGGTGTATTCTCCTGCTCCCTGCCAGCTGAGGTTCTGCAGAAGCCTTGCAGCTGCTGCTCTGGCGCTCTGGCTGGTGTGTGATCTTGTGGCTCCCGCTGCCAGGCTGCCCAGCTCCCTGGCTTTGGAGTGAAGCCTGTGGCTTCTGGGGAGCAGCGTCTGGCACCCTGGGCAAAGGGTCTCTGCCTTCTCCACGGGTCTCTCCTCCAGCCCTCTGCCTGTCCATCATCAGACCACTCACAGACCTAAGCACCGCTGCCAGGTGGCTTTGGATCAAGTCAGACTGGGTTGAGTTCCAATGCTTGACTTGCTTGTTGCTGAGTGAATTTGAGTAAGATGCCTAATATTTTGAATGCTCAGTTTCTTAATACTCATAATAGGAAGATACTAAGTGCATTTACCTCCTGGTGTTTTTTTCGTTTGTTTGTTTGTTTTTGTGAAAATTAATTCATGCCACCTGTTTAGCACTATGCTGGCTATTTATTTGTATAAGAAAAAAACAGTATCTAGAAATGTTTCCAGAGGTCCCGTTTGGCATAGCTTTGAGCTGTCTGTGAATAGGCCTGCCCCCAAGCAGGTATTAAAAGGTATCTGTTAACTTGCAAATATTGATGGGTGACAAAGGTATGTCCCTATGAAATATATGAGTACTTTATTTAATCAAAGGGGTCCCTGGTTTTAGTGTCTTCTTGTTTTACGGCCACAGGCCTGCGGGGCAGCCCCTGCGGGATGAGGCCAGGCCTGGGTTCGCCTTCCGGGGTGTGGCTCTCACAAGCCCGGGCCTGGCCTCCCGCCGGCCTCCGCCCTCGCTCCGACCAGACAGCTGCCCGCGCGGCTCGGCCTGCTCACAGGGCGGGCGGGCGGGCCCCGTGGAGGTTCCCGCGAACCCGCCCGGGACACCCCGGAGCCCGTGAACCCTCCCCGGGACACCCCGGAGCCTGTGAACCCTCCCGGGACACCCCAAAGCCGGTGAACCCTCCCGGGACACCCCAAAGCCGGTGAACCTTCCCCGGGACACCCCGGAGCCTGTGAACCTTCCCGGGACACCCCAAAGCCAGTGAACCCTCCCGGGACACCCCAAAGCCGGTGAACCCTCCCGGGACACCCCAAAGCCTGCGAACCCTCCCGGGACACCCCAAGCTGCAGGAGCCGCTGCTGGAAACCGGAGACGCCTCTGACCCAAAGCACCGCAGGGACGCAGCATCTGATCACGCAGAGCCAGGTGATCACGCAGAGTCAGGTGATCACGCGGAGCCACGTGATCACGCAGAGCCAGGTGATTACGCAGAGCCAGGTGATCACGCAGAGCCAGGTGATCACGCAGAGCCAGGTGATCACGCAGAGCCACGTGATCACGCAGAGCCAGGTGATCACGCAGAGCCAGGTGTGAGCTGCCGACACAGAAACAGGCTCTGCACCTCCTAAGCTGACAGCTACCCGCTGCCATCAGAAGGCTTGAGTTTAGGTTGTTTGCACATAATCACTGCTGTCACTGAGGGTGTGACACTGCTCGAGCCCAATGTGCTTTCGATGCTCTGCCTACTAAGAAGTGTGCTCACAGGTAATTGCTCTATTTTGTCTTTCAGTTATAAAGTTTTGTCAAATTTTAAGATGCTATAATATTGTGCTTTAGATTTCTACCTTGTTTTGCACAAAACATGTTATAATGTTATTTGTGATTAGCCTTCCACGATTAAAACGTAGTAGTGATTGGTGATAAGGGACGGATAATTATTGCAGGAGGTTTTCTGACACCTCCTTCCACCAGAGGGCGCCAGGCCTTTCACAGAACCTTCGGAAACAGGAGCCAAGGGTCTGTACTCACCAGGGAGCTCCGTGGGGTTCCCCAGCCACCAGGTTATCTGGGGGTGCAGCCTGCTCCTCGCCGTGGAGCCCGTCAGGGCCACCTGCTCTTCCCTGTTTTCCGTTCTGTTGACAGAAGCTTCCAGGGTGGGCTTGAGAGGTGTTGCTAGAAAACAAAAACAAAAACAGTTTTCTGTGCTGAAGTAGCTGGTCTGTTGTCTAGGAAGCCTGGAGCCTGCTCGCGCAGGGGCCACGGGTGTCTTCTCCAGCTGACCCCCCCCCCCCCCCGAAAAGATGAGGGGGTGGCTGTGCCTGTGCAGCCACTGGCGAAAGTCAGATGGCTGTGACCCCACATGTTTAGTCCCTGGGAATCCCCAAACCGACTTCTCACAAAAACAATGCTTCACATTTGACATATGGCTGTTTCGATTGGTTGAGCACTACGTGAGGAATAGAGTCCTGAATTCTAGCTCCACCTTTGTCACCAGCTAGTTAGAATTTGGGCTAGTCCTCCAATTTTGTGGTTTATTGTTTCCTGGTCTCTGACATGAAGAAGCTGGGTTATAAGTTGGCTGTTTAAGCCCTAAACTTCCGGAATCTATGACTCACTTCACCATAAGGCGCTTCTGCTCTCTCCCACCATCGGAGGCCTGTGTCTGACAAAGGGCTCCGTGGTCCTCCTTCCTGCTCCCGC